AAATTGACTCATCAACCCACAGTAACTGCGAAGGAAATGTCAGGACGCAGAACAGTAAAATAAAAGTTTAAATATTTACCAACTAAGTCTTCTGTACCGTTCAGAGGATCTGAGCTAAAGGCGCCCCTTGGATTTGTTAGGAGTTTGATGTTAGGTTCCCCATAGGTGTCTCAACAGATTTAAAGTTCCATTACCCGTTTTTCCTCCTCCCCTCCCTCCTCCAGATTGTTCCTAACGCATACTTTTCTCTGAGATATACAATACCATCAAATTGGGATTGTGCTACTTCATAACCCAAAAGTAACTGGGTTTCCAAGAATCTTTGGTTTGAAAATGATGACAACGGGTGTTTGTTTTCATCTGCGAGATCCAAATATTCGCTTCCTGTGAGAACAATATCAATCGACATAACTTAAGTAGATACATCCAGCACTCGAGTGGCGATAGAAACTTGAATGATCCGCCTTCAAAACATTGCGCGACATAAACCAAATTGTTTACAACACAACTGAATTTACAAACCAACCACAGGCCCGAGGAGACGGTTTTAGTACATAATAGATTTGTGAATACGACATACCAATCCAGTGACTCCCTCCCTTCCCCCTGAGCAACAAAGCCATGCGGTTGCTCCAATCTAAATTTGCTTCAAGGCAAAATCACCATTGATGAAAGCATTTTTTGACATCAAGGTTGGTAAAAAGAGCCATTGTCGTAAGAGCGGCCATGGCAATGAATAGGCGAACAAGTCCATTTTTTTGCCACTTGAGAACAGATCACCTAATCCAAACCAAAAATCTGTGGTTTAGCCTTTGGGCACCAGTCGAGCTTTCAGACATCATTGTGCCATCAGGACCAACTTGATAGCATAAGCCACCTGCAACCCCACAACTTTCCAGATGGTAATGGACAAGCTCCCAAGTTCCCACTTTCCTGTAAAGCACTTAATTTCTCCATTCATAGCTGACTCCAACCAGGATGAGTTAGGCAATCACTCAACGATTTGGAATTGACACAGAAGAAATGGATTCGAGACAAGTATAAAAGATGGGATAATCTGTGGTAATTAAGAACGTATAATGGGGGGAAGGGTTTACGTAGAAAGCGTATACCTTACGGAGTAATAGGCAAGTCAGACGCAGTTTCTTGGAGCCGAAGGAGAAACACATAGGCGGCACCGGAAGGGAGTCCCATGGGGAGACAATTACGGCGACTATAAACCTGAATGGGTGGAGTGTTAAGGATGATCCTTGGTTGAAATGAGATTCTAAAGACAGGAAAGGACAAAAGTGTGGCGCATCACCAGTGGATCCCAATATATAGGAATATCCACCAATAACAGGGAGAGTACAAACTAGAAGATAGATGTGAAAAGTAAAAAGAATACTCATCAAATGACATCAAGCATAGATAAAGAATTACATTGATGAATGTCAAAACCTTATATCTAAAGCGCTTTTGTTACCGGTGTGAAATCCTAAAAGACACATTGAAAGACCTAGGAGATAAACTTATCAAGACATGACTAAAATCCAGGAAACACACATGTAGACCAAACACCTTCGAAGAGGTTTCTGGATGCAGAGGGTCTTGAGGAAATAAGATAGAATGAGGGATTTTTGTTATCTAGGAGGATAGGACGAAGAATGGCAGGCGGTTGACATAGATCACCATGCTGTGAGAACTGCCTCACCCAAAAAAAATCAACCTCCCAAACACCGGGAGGGTACTTGACCATGAATAGAAGTGTAACGAGTTTTCAATAAGGTTGTCTATTTCCTTGCGCTCATCCAAACCGCAACCCCCCATTGTTGAGGGTCTAAGCACATGAGGTTTGGTGAATAATTGCCATGAGAAGCCTACCTGTTTTAAAATGTTGAGAAAGGAGTCACGGCCATTATCACTACGTAATGTTCGAATAGAAACCCCCAAACTGTGTTTTTTATTTCATTGAAAAAATGGAAAATAGAAAACAACTCAGAACGATTCTTCATTAAAAACACCAAGTACAATCTGGAATAGTCATCAATAAAGGTAACAAAATACTAAACCTAAAATAGACTTACACGACAGGGTCCCCACATGGTCCAGAATGAACCAAGAAAAAAGAGACGGGCGCCCGTTGTGGACAAAGGAGGGGGGGTGAAAGCTCTAGGAAAGGAACTACTAGTATGCTTCCCTAAACTGACAAGACTCCCAACGGCGCCAAACTTGATATGTTGACAACCTCGGGACAATTTGTTTGTAAGTTTTGGCAGAGACAAGATACCGAACTGAGCCATGAAGAAGGGATGGTGACTCCATGACAAATGCCACCTGTGGAGAAGTTGCGAGAATGATAAAGGCCATGAGAACTCACATCCTGTTCCACTCATGTGTTTCGAACTCCGGTCTGCAAAAAAAAAAACCCAAACAAAATCTTTAGTAAATGAATAACACAATTAAGAGTACGAGTAAACGACTAAGGGACAATTAAGTTGAAGGGAGACCCAGGGACATAAAGTACATGATCAAAAATGGATATGGATGGAAAAATATTAACAAGTACAAACCATGAGATGAGACTCTATAACCCATCAGTCATTGTGACTGAGGGTAATTTAATTCAGACATGAACAACAGAGTAGAACACACGTACTTTTTTACCCCGTTCTCTGACTCGTTGTCGCTGAGTCAAGGACCCCAGGTCCGAGGGAGGATTTAGACCAACAAGGTAACCTGTAAACGTGCAACAGATGCAAAGATGTAGGGGACCAGAGTGTTGATGATCCTCATACCATCTGAGAAATTCGTTAAATATTGTCTGTGTCTAAAACGGTATTACATGAGTAGGTGGTCTGCAGGACGTTGATCGGGGAGGTGGATCAGAATTTTTGCCTTGCTACAAGTGTCGGGAGGACGTCCTGGATATCGTACCATCTAGCAATCTTTTGGCCTAAACTTCCACATTGTTCACATTTTGGACGTCCTTTACTTGGCTTGCGAGACCGACTTTCGATCAATCACTTGAGGCATCCAAACATAGGAATCATCAGTATGAGGGATGTCGCCGTGACGGTGTGCTCGGTATAAACCGCAAAAGAGCTAAAAGTAGAAGTAAATTTGGGTATGAACAGGGAACCAAAATCTGATCACGGACCATGAGAAACAATCAATCAGATGGTTCGTATAAAATGCCAACAACATGAAGAACTTTGATCGTTGTTCCAATTCTTCAGCAGGAGTGGAAGCAGGAGGTAATATATCATTAAAGTCATGAAGAAGTGCATGAATTTTACCCAAATATTCTGCCATAGGACCAGGATTGCGCGGACCAATAACAGTTAATAGGTCCTGACAAACACCATAAAGACGCTAAGGTGCATTTGTGTAATAGACAACTTCGGCTTTGTGCCCATATTTCTGAACATGTGTGCATGGATCGACACATTTGTTTCAGTGAGGAGAGTGAAGGTGGACTTTATAACAATGCATAACTGACATCATTTTCCATCCAGCGGTAAGTGGTCATCAATGGGAGCAGTCGTCACATTTTTGAGTAAGATGATCTAAAGTACCCCTGATCTCAAACAACCAAAGTTTTGATGGTCTGACAAGCCCATGTTGCATAATTTGTGCCATCTCTACTTGTCATGGCCACGTGGTACATTCACATAATTGATATATATTGGGGATCAGAAGATGAGCCACCAATAGATGTGTTTGTAGACAGGAAGACCGCCAAAGAGGGAGAAACCTACAATTCAAAGTGCTCCGATTGACGCATACGACCACATATCCAGAAAGAGGGCCGAGGAGGCCGATCAACGCGTGCTGCTCGGCGGCGGAAGCTTTCCGCGACGCGCCGGCACGCTGGCTGCCGTGGTTGAGCGCGTGAGTGGTCCTTCGCCGCGATCTCGTACCACTGTGGTCCCTCCGCCGGCCCGATCGCGATTCCGATGGTGTTGTTGCCGTTCAATCTGGAACTCTCCGTTTACGTTGTGTCTCATCGTTTCTTCGGCTCTCCTTCTGCAGCTGGCGCTTCGTCGACTATTCTGACGACAGCTGCATTGTGATTGGTTCCTTGCTTAGACCGTGGAGTTGAACTGAACTATTCCTGTGCTCTAGAATACATATGAGAAATAAGAAGATTGGGAGAAAATATCCCTTGTGTGTTAGCAAACCCATAGGTAGTTTATTTATATTGTAAGATATGGGCCAATGCCCTTAATACAGAATAGACTAAGCCCAAATAACAGAAACACACATCTTAACATCTAACATGTACTAATCTCCCTAGCAACAAGACCCTGGGCTATTACTATCAAAGTTCACCTCTGTTGAAAGGAATATTCATTCAACCATTCATTTAGGCTTTCGAAGTTATTAGAAAATGAACTTTAAGTCGAGGAATGGACATCTTGAACATGAACTAGATATTTGTAGGTGGTTCAATAGCAGGCGATAATAGGTGATACTATAGGCCCAACAAAATTCGCTAGGATAGACTCTAATACCATATTAGAAAATGAACTTTAAACCTAATTCAATCTCATAGAGTCAGCTTGTATGGCGATATGAGATATCTAACTGAAGTAAATGTTTGAAAAGTTGCATGTTGGATAGTGTCAAAAGGATTAGTGTGCAAAACAAGTAATAGATGATAGCATCATTCTAATACCATGTTGTTAAGAAGAGAAAAACTAAGAAGGAAAATAATGAATTATGTGTGTTATACAGACGTGAGTAGTCTTATTTATAATGAAGAAGAAATACAATTCTAAGGAACAAAATCAATATCTAATAATGAAAAATATTTAATTAGACATTTCTCTATCAAATCATATCATATCTCCTTATTTAGTGTAATCAAATGATATCTTTACCTCCCCCGTCCCCGCAGAGGTTGACCCTCTTCCCCATTAACTTGAAAATTCCCAATCAACCAATGTTTCCTCAAGTGTAGCCAACCATATCAGAAAATAAAATGTAGGACTTCTAGACCATGCATATCAGAAAAAAAAAAAAAAAAAGAGCTACCACCGCCTCAAATTTCTCCATATGAAGTTTAACCATGCTACTTGAGCCTTGAACAGCTGTCTTATAACCATCATCAAGTTGAATCCTTTTATATTTGGTATCCATAACTTGCTAACCCATGCATGCCACAATCTCTTGTAAATAAAATTGTGGGCAGCTCTTCTCTCTAACAAAATGGGATTGATACTTGTTAGGATCCAGTGTCCAGGTATGACACTTAGTCTTACATTGAAGTACAGGATTCTAGTATGGGGTTTATAAGCCTCAGGATCTCTAACCTCAACAACTACCTTTTGGAGTAAAGTATGGTTCTCCAAAGTTCTGATCAATTTGTATCAAATCCTTCCAACACGTCTCTCATTTGCTAGTGAGCCACATAAATGATGACACTGCCATTGCAGTGTTGCCTAGGACTAGTCAAAGGGCTAGTGCACAGGCAGGGTAAGAAACATTGTGGGATTTAGGATCCATTGCAAGTTATTGAACTTGAGTCGTACATTGGAATTATGGAATTCTATTATGGTGTCTACGAGATCTTGGGCTCTCCAACTAGAACTGCTAGTTTTTCTTTAACAGTCTCAATAAAAACTTCCCTTTCACCATCTCGATTAAAAATATTGTGATTTCACCAATATTTTTCATTATTGGATGCCTTCCCAAAGTTGTTATTCTTTCTGTCACATTGAATGATTTACTGCTTGAAAAGCCGCTCTTCAAGTTGTCATTTAAAATTTCTTAATGATTAGATTAGCCCTGCTTACTCTGCTAAAAATTTTAACAATTTACGTATTAGGTTCTGTTATATGTGAAAAATGTGTTAATTATTGTTGTGAAATATTTCCAGGCTCCACTATTAAAAAAGTATCCTGCAAACCTGTCTGTCACGGCATATTCATACTTCTTTGGAGCTGTTCTGATGGTAACTACATCATTCTTTGCAACTAACGAGTCAACTGACTGGAGATTGACACAGTCTGAAACGATTGCTGTTATTTATGCGGTGAGTCGCTAGAACTTCAAATCAACTTTCAATATTATGAGCCATTACTAGTTATCTTTGGTAACCTTAGTTCACCTTCTTTATTCGTCATTTGTGCGGTATCATTCTTGAACACCTCAAATGCCAATTTTATTTTTATTGAATGACGTTTTGAGCATGTGGTTAGAAAGGGCTCACAGGCTCCTATCATGAGCACTGTTACCGTTTCCTCTCTCTAGTTAGTTAGCCAAGTCAATTGGTTAGTGTCCGGATACTTTGAACCTTGTATTCTAACTGTGTATAAAAACTGTTGTATCCTTAAATTCATCAAATAATAACAGAATTTAGTTTTCTTCCTTGATAAGTTTATCTTGCTTCTCTTTGAAGCTTTACAAATGGAAGCATACTCACTTGTGTATTTTTTTATCAAGGCATCCAAGTTTGCATTTGAGGAAAATGAAAAGACGTTGTTCATGCATGCAGTTTTATAAGTTTTCCTTAATTTTCTACGTTAATTTTGGATTGAATTTTGCTGAGCGACTTTACACTATTTGTAACCTATATTTCTCCTCTTCCACGCTGAGAGAAACTCTGCCAGGATATACTGTTTGAAAAACTCGAAAGCCTTGGTTATTAAATTGAAATAGCATTTTCTGTTAATACTATGAAGAATTCACGCTGATCTTGGATCAGATTCAAACTCCTGAATTATTGATTCTGATTTGAATGCTGAGCCTGCTTTTGTGGGGAATTCATAGTAGACCTTCAAATAATACTCCTCCAGCGTATTCTGAAATCTAGTGGCATTTATCACTGGGCAATAATATTTCCCATAGATTACTTTTTATTAAAAAGTTTGAACTTTTACTATTTATCAATGTAGCTCAAATATGTGTTTGTATATATTTTACGAATTAATATCATAAACACTATGTCATATGCAGTTGACTATATCTTTGATTTGACACATCATACATAGAAATGAGGGCACTATTAAAAAATTCACATATAGAGAAAATTATGCTGTGCTGTTTATAGATCTATAATATTTTTTTTCTTTTGGTTTCGTTGCATTTGTTTATATATAGATATTAAATAAAAAATAAAAATCACAGAACCAATGAATTAGGATTCAGATGACACCAAAAGTTTAAGTTCCAAATGGTGACCAGAATTCTGTTCTGCAAATGATTGCCAAGCCAATATTAGAGTAGCAAAGTTCTTTTTTATGTGGTAAGCTGACTGGCTTTTTTTTTGTACCCTAAATAAACTGATCTCGTTGTTTGTGTGGTCGGAATATGAAATACATACAAAGTTCTGAAACATTTTCTCTCAATTCAGTTTCTTCGATTTCTAAAGCCAAAATCATGCCTAACAATGGAAAAATAGAATGAGAGTGACTAAACATGTAGAGTCTTACAGATGTTTCCATTGTTTGTTCAGGGATTTATCGCATCTGCCCTTAATTATGGACTGATTACATGGTGCAACAAGATCTTGGGGCCAGCCATGGTTGCTCTTTATAACCCACTTCAACCAGGAGCTTCGGCTCTCCTGTCCAGAATTTTTCTAGGAACTCCAATTTACATGGGAAGGTATATCTCCTATTATTCCTAGTTATTGGTGCAATTTACATTCTATATAAGCCAACTCAACTTCTTTATGCTATTTCCAAAAAGCAGCACGATATGCTTTATTTTCCAGAAAAGATGCATAGTTGTCTTCATTAACCAACACGTCTTTGTTTTCTATGCATAGTTGTCATTTAATTTGGTGGTGTGTGAAAGAGTTTTTACGAAGCTTATTTAAACTTATGAAATTGATTTACGATTCTTATAAACTGTTTTTAGTTCATTTCAGTAAGCTTTTTTGTGTAGTTTATTGAAATAAGTCTCTTACTGTTTTTATTTCTTTATTGATGACAACAGCGTCGTAGGGGGATCTATGATCATTATTGGTTTGTATGCGGTTACTTGGGCGTCTTACAGAGAAAGACACGCAGCTGCTGCAGTTATTTCTCATGATAAGAATTCTTATAGAATTAACATTTTTTCAGGCCCCTCCACCATGTCCCCTAAGCCTTCAGATTAACGGTATGTAAAAAGTTGTCTCATTATTCTTTCTTGTTTTTATATGTAATGTTTTCAAGAATTCAGAGAGAATCAACGTTAAATTTTTTATAAACTTGTCCACAAATTGGACTGGGTTACAGCTTCAAATTATTTCATCAGAATTGTTTTTAACAATAAATTTAAATCACCGTTAGAGGTCAAATTAGAAAGAAAAAAAGATGTAGAAGTGGCGGGATAATTGTTTTTAGTAAGAATAGGTTTAAAATAAGTTTATTTCAATAAACCAAATTATTATTTTGGGCTTAAATTCTAGGTCTTTGTGGACTGATTTCTAATTGGGGTTTAAGGCAAATTTTTCTTGCTCCTGCATATCTTCGTCCTGCACTATCATAAATATAAAAGTTTTCCATTATGTCTTTTTTAATTGTGCAATCCAGAAATAAAAAGTGATTTCCATTATGATAATATTCGGAATAGTTTTCTACTAAACTAATATTACAACATGAAAATTACATTATTTTAACGAATCTCCGGGAATATTATCATAATTTTCAATTTTATAAATTGTTCATAGTAATTATTTTCAGTCAACTACTAAGCTTTTAAATCATTATTTTCATAATAAATATATCTATTGAACTTTTATATTTAAACTACCATGCATTGGATAGAAATCATTTAAATGTAATGTTTTCAAAACATTTTTTACTCAAATTATTTTAATGGTTTGTAACACTTTGTCATAAATTTTTCTCGACACACGTGTCAAAAAATTCTCATAACTATTATCAATTATTTATATTTTATGTATTACTTAAAATCAACTTTTAATTTTTTTTATACATTTTTTCTCGTTTTATCCTGTTATATAATTCGTTTATGGATATGTTAGTTATTTTATCGTTTCCAAACATTAATCTAAATAAATCTTAAAAGATAAGGGTGATTACGTAAACAAAAGTCATTAAATTTTATCACTTTTCACGATAAGCAATTTACGGTAGCATATCAAAATAAACAATTTTTAAGATGTTTTTAATTTTTATTTATTCTTAACATTCAAACATGTTAGCAATTATAATAAATATCTTTTAATTAATACATTTCATTTTTACATTTTTTTCCACCTTTTGTCAATTAGTTTTACATAAACACTTTATACACGTTTTTCTTTTGGGTTAAATATGTTTTTCGTCCCTTAAGTATCACACGATTTTGGATTTAGTCCCTACTCGAAATTTTGAAGGCTTTTAGTCCTCATAGTTTTGAAACTCTTACTATTAGTTCTTAAAAATGAACGGAGTTAACTTTCATGTGATGTGGCAAACAGCGAGAACACTCTTATGCCAGCTTCCATCTTCACTCTCTGACACGTTGGTTGTTTAACTTTTGAAATGAGATTAAGTATGTTTAATTTGGAGGAACCTTACTTCGTCATCTCTTATAAATGAAATTTTAAGAAGTTGGGTTCTTCTTCATCATTGCAGTTGGGGGCAAAGAAAGTTGAGGAGGTACATCTGAAGGTCGTCTTCTTGAGGAGGTAAGTTGATAGGTTTTGTTTTGCTCTTCTTCGTGTGAATATAAGGATTGGGGATATAGGGTTTGGTGCTGCGGAATCAGTCTCGGAAAATTCCATCCATGAATTCTCGGTCAAGGTAGAGGCAATACTCATAATCTCAACATCAGAAAACCCTAATTTTTTTATTATTTCAATTTGGAAACAATTATAGAAACGTGAACCTCACCACCCTCCCAAATCTCCTTTCCCCTTATTTCCTAAACCTTGATAAATAACATTAACAGTGAACGATTGCTTTCGTTTGTTGGGATTCTAAATTTGAAGCGTCAGAATCCGTTGGAATGCAGGGAAGTGGCAGTAGCGGTGGCACTGCTCCGTCGTCTGCGCCGGTGAAGCAATATTTGCAGGAGTTCTCTAAGCTGTTTCAGTACTATCTCGACAAATCTACCCCCCATTCCGCCTACAGATGGATTGGGACATTGGTCATGGCATCCATCTACGTCTTGCGTATTATTTACATGTAGGGGTTTTACGTTGTCTCTTACGGCCTCAGAATCTACCTCCTCAATCTCTTGATTGGTTTTCTCTCCCCTTTGGTTGATCCAGAGCTTGATCCCTCCAAATTAAACATACTTAATCTCATTTCAAAAATTAAACAACCAACGTGGCAGAGAGTGAAGATGGAAGCTAGCATAAGAGTATCCTTGTCGTTTGCCACATCACACAAAAGTTAACGCCCTTCATTTTTAAGGACTAATAGTAA